CTCCCAGAATTCCCCAGACAGCCATGCTGGCTGGGGAATTTTTGGAGTTGAAGTCCACACATCTTCAAGTTGCCAAGGTTGAGAAACACTGGTCAATGTATTAGTGTTACACACACTCCCAGATTCGGCTTATGGACACTCACTCATGTACATACAGCCTGTTGGGACACACAGATTTTGTAAGACCCCCTCTACCTGGCTTTCTACCTGGGTTTACCAAATGGGGTTGGCTCGAGCAGACAATACCCACAGCCCTGGTCAATGGCTGGGAAATAATTAGGAACACACACAAATCACTTTCAACTTGATCTGTGGCCATCTGGATTCAGGAAAAGGTTAACTCTTACCCATGAAGCATCTTAGCCCTCTCTGTCGCTTCAATGAAACATGACACTTACTTCATGTGACACAGTAAGCCACTTCAGTAGGTTCCTAGAGCAGAAGATCTCCACAGCACCCAATTTTGAATTCAAATTCTAGACGATGTTAACAAAATTATGGCTGCTTTGAGTTCAAAAAAGCCATTAGATTAGGGGTTCCTAAACTTTTTCCCATCACACCTCCCTTTAGTGTAATCTTAGTGTATGCACCTCCCCTAAAAATCCAAACCCCCAAATGCACACAAATGCACCATGCAAACACTACAATGAAATTTTGGGAAAGGTTGATGTATTGGAACAATGTAACTAAAAGGTTCTTCACACCTCCCCTGGACTCTGTCTTCACCTCCCCAAGGGGGGTACACCTCAAGGTTTGGGAAACCCTGCATTAGATCAAAAACAAGTCCAGGGTATGGCTAACATCCCATGAAATATAGGGTTAAGATGGGGACAATCATAGGCCCATTGTGTCTAGTTTGAATGTGCCAATGTTTCAGGTAGATTCCTAAAAGGACCTCTGGTTTTTACCTTATGTTAATTTGGCTTTCAAATATTAATGCCGCTGTTTTATGTATTTATGTATTTATTAAATTTTTATGCTGCCCATCTCCCCCAGAGGGTTTTAGCTGCAAAATTACTGTGGATAATTTCCAGTTTAGGTTGCACCCATCACACTCTCCATCAAGCCCAATATCCAGATCAGAGTAAGTACAAAATAGCAGATAGATAGATAGATAGATAGATAGATAGATAGATAGATAGATGGTTATTATTGAAAGCAGGTAACTGGCAAAAAGACAAAAAACAGGGAAAGACGGGGAGAAAGAGAGAAAGACATGAACAGCAGGCAAGAATTTATATCGTGATCTAACTACTTTCACTGGAAACAGTACTATGGGGACTTAGCATGGACAGTCCCAAAGGGAATGATTTTGGTTATTTCAGCCTTAATCCTTTTATGTATATAATGGTAGTGGAATAGAAATGGAAAGTAGGACACTAGGTGATCCCACCTCTGTATAAGTATAAATAACTATTGGTGGATGTTGGAGAACTGATACCTAAGTTGGTAAAGTTGTTGCCCACCATTGAATACTTATCTACACTTATCTACTTATTTATACAGTATTCTGATTTACAACCCACAGTTCTGTCCATAGGGAGCTCAAGGAAAGTGACAATCCAAAATGAACATAAAACACTAACACTTAAATGCTAATGAATACATTTAAAATCCCGGAAGCTGGCAAGGCCTAGCTAAAGAGGAAGATTTATTGTAGCGCATGTGTTGAATTCTAGGTAGGAGGCAAATGTTCATGAAGCTGGTTAGGGAACAGAACACATCTGGCTCCTCAAATACTCCACAGACAAAACTTTTCTCCTCACTCCATGATGCTTGTTTGGACACTCTGTGGCTTGGATTCAGTAGCTTGCTACACCACTTGCCTTTCTGGCAGTCAGTTCATCCCCAGAAGGTGTTCCTTCCCAGAAAGCTCTCTGCAGCACCATCTTCAGTGGTTCTCGAGATGACCATTTCAACCTTTTGCCCACTAAGTAATAAAAGACAGGCTTGGTGCTGCTGTTGACAGAATGGATAAGCTGGGAAAATACAAGAAGTGTGCGAAGATGCCTGTAGCCCTGCAAGGAGAATGCAACAGTCCATGGGCCACGGAGTACAAGGATACAAAGGAGTGAGAGGAGAAGAACTAGATTTAGAGTTCCTGGTGATTGCTGCTGGGAGTTGCAACAGATCTTGGCAAGCAGGACCAAAATGAAAGAACCCAGAAGGGAGGGCAAAACATAGAAATTGACTTATGAACCTGATATCAACTGGGATCAAAATCTGGTGATAAATCATGTAAAATGAAATCTGCATTCCGTAGAACATGGCAGACAAGGTCCAGATCAGAAAAGATAACATGGAAGAGAGCCATCTCGGCTATGACGTTGGTAACAGACCGGAAAGAGGAGAGACAGACACGTCTCTGCGCTGAGAACAGTAAGAAAACAAAGACTGGCTGTATACGTAAAGTGAATGAGATTTCTCAGTTGTATAGCTGAACTAAACATATAGAACAGTATACCATGAAAATGGTTAACAAGTGAAAGAATAAGATACACTGTCAAAAATACAAGGGTACCCAAGTCAGTCACAGCCAAGTTCAAGATGTAAGTGGTGAAAGAGTTACTTGTAATATGGATGCTGAGCCACCACATAACCAGCCCATTCCCCACCACCCCAAATATACAGATAAAGATGGCAATGCTAAGAATGATCAAGTCACTTAATCGATAATATAGGTAGGTGTAATTTGCATTATCCTGATCCTCGGTGACATCATCCATTAGGAAATCGTAGGCTGTGTTGTTGTCGCCCGTGATGGAAGGCTGCAGAGCTCACAGTTCTTCATTCAGCTGCCCAGCCATTCCCACTTGGCCTGAAATATGTTTGGAAAAGAAGAAGAAAGTGAATTCAGTGTTCCCCCATCTCTGCTGCTTAGCTCCTGAGGCTACCAAACTCAACCAACATAGCCAAACCTGATCAACATTAGCCAACTGGGCTTCTGCCTCAAATCCTGGAGATTAGAAGTAGGTACTCTGCTTTCCACATTGACTCCCAACCTCTGTTGTCATTGGCCAGAATGGTAGGGGCTGATGGGAACCAAAAAAAAGCAAAAACAAAAAATAGACCAGGTTCCAGTCCATCCTCAACTATGGAAGCTCATTGGGGAAAATGGGAGGATTCTATGAGATCCAAAGTCTGCTGGTCCTCAGATGCATTACTCAGAACTAACACAGCAGTGAATTCTTACAAGGGTGTGAACTAGACTATTTCCAAGGTCTCTTCCAAGCTTTCCATTCTATGATATCACTCTGGAACCGGTGTATGCAAGCTTTTCCGATAGAGGAGGAAAAATTAAAAGGGAGGGGGGCCCTATAAAAATCTTCAAAAAGGACACACACAGAGAGGCAAAATTTTGCTCCTCTCACCCTTCCACTCTACCCCACACCCACCTCCCATATATCCTCTATTGATGGATGTCTTCTCCTTCACCTAAAAGGATGATATGAATGATTTTTGGACAGGCAAGCTCTGAAGACTGAAGTTGTGAGGTTGTGTATTATGGGGTTCCATGTGCCTTTCCAGAATGGCAAAGTCCATGAAAAAGTCCCCATATTGTTCTAGCAATATATTTTTTATTTCTCCAGTTATATGAGTGTGTGTATGTTTATGACGTTCTGACTTGCTATCAAACACTCCCAGGCTTCCTGAATCCCATAAGATCATGGAATCCTATAATCCTAGAGTTGGAAGGGAATCTGCAGGTCTTCTAGTCCAATCTCCAACCCAGGGCAGGAATCTTCAGACCATCCCACACAAATCTGCTTTCTCTTCCCTCTGAAGCCCTTCAAATAGTAGAAGAGTGCTGTCATGCCTCTCCTTAACTTTCTCTTCCCAAGACAACTAACTCAGTGGAAGTTCATTTTGAGGTCATTTTCTTATTTCTGAGTAAATAATAAAAACAGAGGTCATTGATTATGTCAACCACACTGGGGTTTTATCTACAAATATGAGTCAGCAGCTTCCTTACTTCTCTGCAGGACAAAGCTGTGGTAACAACTATTCCCTGCAAGGTTCAGAAGGGGAAGCTCTGTAAACTGCAAGAAGAGATCTTCAGTTTTCTGGCTTTTTCCATTTTGATTTGAAGGAGCAATGTGTGGGCAACTAACAGGGTGAGATCTGCAGCCCAGATCCCCTAACCCCAACCCCTAGATTAAGAGAACATGATTTTTCTGTTCATAGAACTTCCAACACCCCTCAAATAAATCAAGCTACAGCTTCATCTGATGGTCTGCTTCACACAATATTTTAAGAGAAGTTTTGCTTCTCACAACAGGCTGAACCAGAAGCTACTATATAGTCTAATTGCTGGTTAGCTCTCAGCCTGGGAGGATTTTTATATTAAAAAAATAAAAAAGATTCCCATGATTTCTCTGGGGTAAATCATTTCTGGAGACTAGGTTTTTTTTCTTTTTCCATTCAGCCATGTCCGATTCTCGGAGACCACCTGGACAAGTCCCTGCAGTTTTTTTTGGCAAGATTTTTCAGAAGTAGTTTGCCATTGCCTCCTTCCTAGGACTGAGAGAAAGTGACTGGTCCAAGATCACCCAGCTATTTACCCCTTAGGACAAACATTTTTTTTCTCTCTCTACTGTGATAAACAGCAGTCTGGGGGTGGGGTGGGGTGGAAGAAATTAATAGCATGAAAACAGAGAAGACCATCTTTCTCCCCAGGATATGTCTGTACTGTAATTTATTGGCTGAATAGTTACTCTTAATGGAATTATAAAGAGATCCAATAAAATAAAACCTTAGAAGGGATCATCTAGCCTAGCATTTCTCAAACTTGGCAACTTTAAGATATGTGGAATTCTGGGAGTTGAAGTCCACATGTCTTCAAGTTGCCAAGTTTGAGAAACACTGACCTAGCCCAATCTCTCCTGGTCACCACAATAATTGCATTCCTAACAAATTGTTGAATTGCTTCTATCTCTACCTCCAGTGAAAGTGATTCTCTTATCTTACCTGCCAAAACTATCTGTTCCACATGCACACAGCTTATCTTTCTCCCAATGTTCAGTCCAAGATTGTTCATTCCTCCCTGAAATTTCTCAAAACCCCTATTTCCCCATTTTCAATCGGGAAGCTTATCCTCTGACCCTGTCCATGCAAAACATTTATTACTATTTCTCGTCTTCTGGGTTTGCATAATACTTTGTTCTCTAAATTAAGCAAATGTTTGCAGGCTAAGCTTAGCAACAGGAACATCCATGAAGTTACAACTAACCGAGCATTACACATTATACAAATGTCAGCCCCTGGATTTTAACTTGTCTGGCTAAGCATATGGCATGAATACAGCCACTCTGTTCAATTGACTTGAGTTGATTAGCAGTTCTCATGCTTTCTGGGAATCTTAAGTTCAGTCTCTAAAGAGGTGAATAAAGATTATTTCAATGAGAAAAGGCACCTGCTAAAGTTTGCTTGTCAGAAGCTTAATCTGAGAATTTCTTCTTTCTTTCTAACCATGTTTTTCTGGGCAGCATGAATGGGATCTGGGATGTAGCCCCCCCCCCTTTTCCCAGTAGGTCTGTTCTTGGGTGGGGTTGTTAGAACCAGATGCCCTGGTTTGCCCCTCCCAGTCCTTGCACAGCCATTAGCTCTTGTCCTCTCAACACAGCATCACAATGTCCTTCTTTGGAAGGCACCATTGAGGCCAACAAACCCAACTTTCTGTCTGGTGCAGGAATCCAAATTAAAGCACTCCCCCTAGTCTGACTTTCACTGCAACCCCTGCAGAAGCCCATCAACTCTTGGGTCTTTGGTTCCATTGTCCAACTGCTCTTACCATTTGGAAGCTTCTCTTTTCAATCTGCCTTGTTTCTAATTTCAAGCCATGATTCCATCTCGTCCTTGGAGTCTGCCAGCTCTGTCTGTTAGCTCCAAGTCCTTGTCTCACTCTCCTTGCTTGTCTTCTTGTAGATCTTCTCAGCTCCAGAGTAAGTTGCCTTCTTGCAACCGACCTTCCAGGTCTCTTTTTCCCTTTCTCCTCTGGCTGCTCTGCTCCTTCTCTGCTGTGCTCTCCTCCCTCCTGCCTTCTTCACCACGCCTTCCCTTCCTGTGTTCACGAGCCGCTGCCCAGCTGGGAAACGACATCTGTATCGCGCTTAACTCTTTCCTGAAAAGGAAGCGAAGGGGGTGGGGGGTGGGAGAGCCGTGTTGGTCTACCTTAGCCAAACATCGGGGCTCGGGCAGCCCTCTTGTGGGCTAACCATTGTAATCAGAAGGCACCAGCTTTCCTGCGCTTGCAGCTCGCTGCATCCGATGCACGGAGGGGTTAAACCCACGCAGGGTTTAGCCTGAAAAGATGTGAGCAGGCTCCAGATCTTTAATTCCTGGCAGCACGTCCCAGGTGGAATGAGCCTCCCTCCGGCTCAGGGCATGTCTACAATCTCAGAGCAGTTTACCCCGAATGATAAATTAAAGGCTCGGATCTTGCCTTAATGGGAGACCGCGTCACTACTGGCAAAGCCCGCTGAGGCTCGCCGAGTCCGAAAATCAGCGTCGGAGCGAAAAGAGCCAAATAAAGGTGCGCCTCCCCAAGAAACAAAAACACTTTCTAAGGCCAGGCAGCTTTTTATTCCTGTTATTATGGATGCTGTTGTCGCAGAACAGCGGCTGAATCTCACAAACGGTTTTTTCAGCGGCGAGAACTCTTGATACGCCCAGCGGGTTTTCCCTCTTTGGGAATCGGGTGTTTTAATCTGGAATGCATTTTCAACTGCTCTGTGGCCGTAATGAACGGAATTGAGCAATCTCGTAAAGTTTGCGGCCGGGGCGGGGGGAAATTGGGGTCCCACAACGCTTTTTCCCTGCCTCGGTGCGCTGAGCAAGGGGCGCTGGCCAGAAGAGCCCCGCCGGGGACGAGGCATCGCGCGGAAGCCGATCGCACCGGTGCGCAGTTTCCGTTCGGGCAGCGTGTCTGGAGAACGCGAGGAGCCTGCGTAAATGACACTCGGGCCGCTGCTGGCGCAGGCCGGCCTTCGTCGGCTCTGCTCGGTTCCGGCGGAGGCAACGCCATGCGCGTTAGGGCGATGCCAGATGCCCGAGACGCGGAGGCCCGGCAGCGCAACAGCAGCCCAGCGTGGGCTTGGTTCCCTGGCATGCTTGACCTACCGGTGGAAACGTCCCCTTTTCCAGGTTCGCGTGATGCGTTGCACCACAAACATTCCTCCAGGTTGGGTTCACACGACTTCCTACACCACACTTCTCCTTGTCAACTGGATGCTAAAATATGTTGTTGAAGGAATAATATTGACAAAGAGCGGTGGGCAAACCCCTGGCTGAACTTCAGCATAGCCCCAACCTGGACAGCAGCCCTGGAGAGCATCTCTCTGCTGCTGCCAGGGGGGTCCCATAACTCACTGGGACAGGATTCCCCTGTTTGAGCAGGTGCCTCTGAGCTTCATGGGTCTTCAGTCAAATATGAAGATCTTCTAGCACAGTGCAATCAGTGTCTGGGATTGATTAAAGAACTGCACTCCTGTGCTCCTAACTGATTCTATCTTGTATCAGCCCGACTGGCAATATTGAGAATATCTGGAAGTCCACAAGTTCCCCATGCCTATTTTAGGAAAATCAAAAGTCACCCCAGAGAGCAATGCATTTTTGCATCGGTAAAGGAGCGATAGATAACTCACCTTGCTGCGTTCATAAGAGCCCCATTGGATCAAACCAAGGTTTATCTTTGTCTACTAATTTGCTTCTAAAATTGGTCAAGCAGATGCTTTTGGGCATGTGGAAGCAGAGGTTTGAGACCCCTCTCCCTTGCAGTTGGTATCCGGGGATGAACCTTCTTGACTTATAATCCTTGATTTGCGTTCCTCAACCATGTCTCCACTCAGCCTTCTCCTTCATTGTCCCCTATGTGATAATGGAGCTCAACCATGTCTCCACTCAGCCTTCTCCTTCATTGTCCCCTATGTGATAATGGAGCTATCACGTTTCTCCCATTCTGCCGTCTTTATGCAACTCGCCACCAGGAAAGGGTCAAACGTAGCCTTCCTCTGACAACTTCCGCCCTCTAGGGCAGCCCAAGACGATGGCTTCTAATGCACCTCTCCATTTTGAAAGGGGTCCAGAAAATGCACAAAGAAATGATTATCCATTCAGAGAAGGGTCCAATGAATTTTCTTGTGAGTTTTCCTGCAGAAACTTAAAGAGTCTCAAACTGTTTGAGAAATCAGCAGAGCAGACTTCAGCTGGGCAAAATGGAAAACTTTTCCAAATAAAAATGAATTTGACGTCCCGATTAGGCTGCTTCTCTGCCAGGGATTTTTTAGGTTGTTCCTTCTTCCAAGATACAATTGCATCTTTAAGCACTTCGTTTGCATATTGCATACTGCTAACAATTTAGTTGCAAAATTGTGAAGTTCAAGAATATTGCTGCTATAAGATGTTCCTCCTTTGATGGGCCTGACCTCTAGGAATTTGACATCCAGATTTGGTTGCTTCTCAAGATATTTTTATTATGGAATATTATTAGGACTCTCCTCCTTCCAGAGTTGGTTCCAGTCAGTGTTGATGGGGGGTGGGAGAGAGATCCAGCTGGCAGCCCCTTCTTTGTGGGGTGCCATAGGGCTTGGCCCTCTCTCCCCTCTTGTTTAACATCTACACAAAACAAGGGTGAGGCCCTCTAACAGTTTGGGGTGTGGTATCATCAATATGCTTATATGTCCACCCCAGGCCACTCGAGTGATGCTGTAGAGATTCTCTCTCAGTGCCTGGAGGCTGTGGGGGCCTGGATGGGGTGCAACAGACTTCAGCTCAACCCAAGCAAGACCAAGTGGCTCTGGGTTTTTGGACCTCCTGGTTCCGGGGACCTTCCATCTTTGGTTTTGGATGGGGTGGCACTGCCCCAGACAGACTTGGTGTGCAACCTGGAGGTCCTCCTGGACCTACGGCTCCTGCTCAAAGAGCATGTGGCAGCCATGGCTAGGAAGTTCTTTGCACAGCTTATGGCTGTGCCTCAGTGACGCTTGTTCCTGGACTGGGGGCCCCTGCTTATGGTCACTCATGCTCTTGTGACCTCCAGATTGGACTACTGCAATGTACTTTATGTTGGGCTGCCCGTGAGGAGTATTTGGAAGCTTCAATTGGTGCAAAATGTGGTGGCATGGCCAGTTACTGGTGCCAGTACTCAGCACATGTGACACCACTGCTCTGTGAGCTGCATTGGCTTCTGGGTGCAACTCAAGGTGCTGACTGTCACCTTTAAAGCCCTTCATGGCTTAGCACCAGGTTATTTATGGGACTGTCTCTCCTCATCCTACCCAATCTGGCAGGAAAGGCATGCTCTGGGTACCATTGGCTTCTGGGCCCTGCCAATGTCAGCTGGCAGGGCCCAGAAGC